GGCTGCAAGTTCCAACCCACACTTTCTTTGGGCCATGGTTTCAAAGTCATTTCAATTTGGAAAGTCTTTGCAGTGCTTTATTTTTACTTAATTCTAATGATCCTAGCAGAACCTACAACTCAATAAAGTAGGTTTTATGATACTTACTTTACAGATAAAAAAGATAGGTTTGAATTCAGCCTAACACAAGCTATATGATATTGGACAAGACACTCTTTGAGCCTTATTATCAAACTCATCTGCAAAATGAGTTTGATAATACCTACACCATTGGATTGTTTGAGGACTGAGTAAAATAATACATGCAGCATATTTAGCATACTTCAAACCCTAAAGAAATCATGGCTAGTCTTCTCATTTTAAAAAAATCAGTTTCACTGAGGAAAAATAATATATAATCAAATACAAACAATTTAAGTTAGAGAAGATTACTTTTGACAGTTGTATATACTGTATAACCACCATTCCAATAAAAATATTATAGAACATTTCCACTATAATGGAAAGTGCCCTCATGCCCCTCTATAGTCAATTCTCTATCTGTCCTCAACCCCAAGCAACCACTGATTCAACTATCACAATAGATAAGTTTTGTCTGCTCTAGGGTTTTATATTTATAAAAGCAGACAGTCTGCACATTTTCTGTCTGGCTGTTTTCACTTAGCATAATATACTTCAGTTTCATCCATATTGGTTTGTTATTTTTTTATTGCCGACTAATATTCCATTATTTTACAGGGATGTTTTTTACTATTGATTGAAAAAGTTCTTAGATATTCTAAATTCAAGTCCTTTTTAAGATCATGTATTATGGCTATTTTCCCCAGTCTATAAATTGTCTTTTATTTTCTCAGTGGCGTCTTTCAAAGAGCAAAAGTTTTTAATTTTTATAAAGTTCAATTAATCATTCTTTTTCTTTTAAAAGTTTGTTTGATTGGGTGTTTTGTTTTGTTTTGTTTTGTTTGGTGACTGTTCTCAAAAAATGTTGCCAACACCAAAGGGATGAAGATTTTTTTTCTTTGGCTTCTTCTAGAAGATTATAATTCTAGCTTTTATGTTTCAGTTTATGATCCATTCTGAATTAACATTTTTTGTGTATGCTATAATGTAGGAGTTGAGGTTCAGTTTCTTTTCTCCGTACTAATATCCAGTTGTTCCAGCTTATTGGGAAAAAAAAGTCTATCCTTTCTCATGGAAATAACTTGGTACCACTGTGAAAATTAATTGACCATATTATGTGTGGGTTTATTCCTAAATTCTATTGTTTCATTTATCTATGTGTCTGTAACAATACCCCATTTATTTTATTGCTTTAGCTTTATAATAAGACTTGAAGTAAGGTAGTATAAGTCCTCTAACTTTGTGGTTCTGTTACAAAATTGTTATTCTGGATCTTTTGTTTCTCCATATGAATTTTAGAATTAGCTTTAGGCCATAATCTGTGAGAGAAGTGAAATTCATGGAGCCAGAATCAAAACTTTCTAGGCTCTCTGTCTAGGGGCAATTGTTGGATTTGATTTCCTAAACACATGTTAAGGACTTTTGTGTGTATGTTCAGTTTTATGTCTTTTAGTGTCTTTGTCTGGTTTTGGAATCAAGGTAATATTGTTCTCATAAAACAAGTTGGAAAGTATTCTTTCCTATTTTATTTTCTCAAAGAGTTTGTGTAGAATTTATATAATTACTTAATTTCCAAATTTTTTACAAATATCTTTGTTATTAATTTCTAGTTTAATTCCCCTGTGGGCAGAGAAAATATTTTATATGATTTCAACCATTTTAAATTTGTTGAGGTTGGTGTCATGATAGTGAATATGGTCCATTTTCTTGAATATTCCATGTACATTTGAAAAGAAGGTATGTTCTAGTTATTGAATGGAATTTTCTATGTCAATTAGGTCATATCAGTTGATAGGACTGTTAAGGTTTTCTATATCAATAGTTCCCAAATTTGCCTGCACTCTGTTGAAATCACCTTTGAATCTCCTTAATGCCTATATCCCAACCCTAGAGATTGTGATTTAATGAGTATGGGGTGTAGCCTGTTCTTTAGAACTCTTAAGAGATTCCCAGGTGATGCTAATGTGTAAACCAAGCTTGGAATCTGAGTTCTGTATCCTTACTAATTTTCTGTATATTGCTTTACAAATTACAGAGAGGGGAGTGATGAACTCTCCAAATGCATTGTGGGTTAGTTTCCTATTTCAGTTCTATCAGTTTTTGCTTCAGTACTATTCTATAGCAGTATTAGGATTTTGCATCTTCTTAAAGGAACTGATCCTGTTATCTTGTTTTAATATGAATTCCCCTGATTACTAGTGAAGGTAAACATTTAAAAAAAAACTCTTTCTGGTTATTCAGTTTTCCTCTTCTGTGAGTTGCTTATTTGGGTTATATGAATAAGTTTTTATATTAAATTGTTAGAATTCTTTATATTTTCAGAGCTTAACTATATTCTCCCAGTCTGTGGTTTGTTTTTCACTTGATTAAAATTGTCTTCTCTTCTGTTTTGAAAACTTTTATCTCTTCTGTTTATAAAACAATCAAAATTTAATCTTTTTGATTAATGAATGGTACTGTTTTGTCTGGTTTAACAACTTCTTCCTTAAGGTGATGTCATAAAGACATCTGTTTTCTAAAAGTTTAGAGGGTTTTTATCACATTTACTTCATTTGGGATTGAGTTTTATTTGTGGTGGAGGTCAGAATCTAATTTCATTTTTTATATGAATAGCCAATCTAACTAGAACCACCATCATTTGTCTTTTCTATACCCAATTAACATAGTTATTATACCAGGGCGCCTGGGTGGCTCAGTTGGCTAAGTGTCTGACTTTTGATTTCAACTCAGGTCATGATCTCCAGGTCATGGGATCAAGCGTCCCCACATAGGGCTTGGCACTGGTGTGGAGCCTGCTTGGGATTCTCTTACTTTCTGTATGCCCCTCCTCTCTCTCTTTCTCTCAAAAAAACAAAACAAAACAAAAAAACACCCACAGCAACAACAAAATTATTGTACCATTTACACTTTCAAGAGTCATGCATAGTTCTTTCCCACAACCTGACCAACACTTACTTCTTATCAGACACTTTTAGTGTATACCAACTTCCAGGTACAGGTACTCTAATTTTCTTTTTGTCTATTCTTGTGTCATTACCACATTTTAAAAAGTTGCTTTTAAAATAGAATTACCATATAATTCAGTAATTCCACTTCTGGATATATACCCAAAAGAATTGATGAGAGGGTCTCAAAGATATATTTGTACCACATCATGTTCATAGTAGCATTCACAATAGCTAAAAGTTGGAAGCAACCCAAGTGTCCATCAGCAGATGAATGAATAAACAAAATGTAGTATATACCTACAATGGAATGTTATTCAGCCTTAAAAAGGAAGGAAATTCTGACACATGCTACAATATGGATGAGCCTTCAGGATGTCATGCTGAGTGAAATAAGTCAGTTACAAAAAGATAAATACTGTAAGAGAGCCCACGTACATGAGGTACCTAAAGTCGTCATATTCATAGAGACAGAAAGAATGGCAGTTGCCAGGTGCTGGGGGTAGAGATAAATGGGAAGTTGTTTTTTAATGGGTATAGAGTTTCAGTTTTGCAGGACGAAAAGTGTTATGGAGATTGGTTGCATGACAATGTGAATATACTCAACACTACTGAACTGTACACTTTAAAATAGTTAAGATGATAAATTTTTTTGCGTTATGTATATTTTACTCTATTTAAAACTGAAAAAAAGCTGCTCTAACAACAAAAAAGTTGCTTTTAATAGTTCTTAGTCTTTGGTGTTCTGCAGTTTCATCAGGGTGTGTCCACATATGGAATTCTTTACTTTAAACCTGCTCAAGAATAAGTGCTTCCTGAATCTGAGCACTCAAATATTCCATAATCCTGAAAAATTCTTAGTTATTATTCTTTGAATACTGCTCACAGCCCTTCTCTCTAGTTTCTCTTTTTGACACTCCTATTGGATATACCCTGGACCTTTCTTTCTTATTTTCCATTTATTTAGGTCCTGTGCTGCATTCTAGTACATTTTCTCAAATTATTTATCATAGTCCAGCCAAACGTATAGTTTTCAGATACTGAATGGAAGATTTTTTACATATTCCTTAAAAAGATTAAGGTGGTATGTCAGCAAACTGAACCAGAAGTGAAAAGTCAAGAAACAGAGATAGGTTCACCTCTACAACCCAGGAGAATGTGCTGAAGCCAAAACAACATAGTATTATTACCTGTACTCAACAAATATTAAACACAAGCAGGATGCCGCTTCGTGTCAAGTGCTAGATATCAATGAAAGCGATCAAGCCAGATTACATTACATCCCAAAGCCGGGCCACAGCATTTCACACTGCATGTCATGACCTTGAGCAAGGCATTTATTCTTAAGCTTCAGTTTAAGGGTGGGTTGCTGTGAGAATCAAAATGAGGTAAGGTGAGCGAAAGCTCTATATTAAGGTATTTTCTCAATTCTAAAATATTCCTAAATGGTCAAGTGCACTATGGATGTAATAATTGTTTGGAAAGGATGTGGAGAGGAACAATCCACTAGGGGTGTACTTATGAACTTTCCGATTTGGGAAGTTAAAAAATATGGAAAAGTCTGCTTTTAGAATTGAGGTACCTCGGTATTGTACTGGCTTTATCCATTATGTCCACAAATGCCCTTTTCTTAAATTTGAATGATTTCCCTCTCCCCCAGCATTTGGTTTTACCAACCTCCTTCCTAACAGCTGTCAAAATTTTCCATACTGGCTTTCTGATCCCAATTTTCTGGCTCCTGCTGAGACTGAAGAGCCGCTTTCTTTGGACTGGCTTTCTCACGCTTAACTTCGCTTCTGTACTGTCATTGGCTGTTGATTTTACCGGACCCGCCCACAACAGCCTCAATCCTGATTGGATGCCAACGTCCTTTTGTTAGGGCAAAAGGTGGATCCTCGGGCTTTGACAAAGGACGATTGGGGCGTCGTACTGCTAATGCGCAGGCGTACCTTCTTGAGTGGGGATTGGTGGGCGACGGGGCGGGACGGGGCGGGACTCCCGACACAGCGCACGCTCTGTGGGCGCAGAGGGCGGAGCTGCCGGTACCAGTTGGTCCAAGCGTTGGGGCCTGAGGCGTCTTCGGATCCCTCCCATTCCCAGCGCCTTCAACGGCAGGTGAGGGCAGTCGTGGGCAGCGGAGGGCCTGGCCCCGGGCGACTGGAGTCGCGCCCTCGGTACAGCCGAGAAGTTAGAGGGCGGGCAGGGCGGGGAGGGCTGGACGCGGCCCGGGGCACCAGGTGCCCGGGAAGAGCGGCCTCGGGCCTGGGCATTTGGTGGGCGCCTCAGGCCTGACTCCCTGCAGAACCCCTGCGCAACCTCCTCATCTTCTCATTATTGGGCCCAGTGGTTCCTTTGGGGGAGGGGCTGCTCGCGTCCCTGAGGCGGACCTCCCGCCGCCTTCTCCCGCCTCTTAGGCGAAGGCCGCTGTCCAGCTTCCCGCCCTGATTGGGACTGCAGAGGGGCGTTTGGGCGGGATGGACCTGGCACGCCTGCACTTGTCCGTGGTTGCTCTACCGAGAGCCCGGGAGGTAGGAGGAGAGGAGGCCAAGGCGGGGAGGGTGGCGAGCGAGGGTAAAATAAGGGCTGGCGACGCTTTCCTGGCACCGAAAGGAGCTCCCGGGTTAGTTTCTACTCGGGCTTCCCTCAAGGATCCTGCCGAGCAAGTTTTGGGGAGTTAGGATCGAAAAGGAGAAAGAAGATGCCTTTCGAAAGGCAGGACTTTTGTTATACAATATATCGATTCCACTACTATGACGTAACAATGTTAAGGACCTGCTATCCTATGTCCCCAGCACTGTATGTCTGTGCCTGAGGATCCGAAGCTATGCCTATATATTCTGTGCCTGTACTCATTGATTAAATTCACTATAACTAGCCATTATTTGGCCAGTCCCTTAATCTTATGGAATCTTGAAACTGGATTTGTTTGACCAGAACAATTCAAAACTTGAACAGGCCTGAACAGACAAACCATGTTGAAAGTTGATGCAGCTTGAATGGAATGAAATTTATCTTCAGTTGCTTCCTAAAATATCAAAGGAATGTAACATCAAAGATTGCAAAATATTTGGCAGACATAGATTAGGGCTGTATTTCCATTACACAATGGAAAAAACAGGGACTTTATAGTGAGACCTGCTTTTAACATCTTGGTACAAATGTTGGCTGTGAAGTCTAAGGCAGATACATAGCCTTTCTGAGGTATAGGACCCACAAATATAAATCACAATGCCCTTCTGTTGATTTGCTGAATTAATAATATATGTAAAGCATTTAGTATATTAATGAACAGTGACATCATTTTAGTAGTCTTGTTCACTAGTAAGCGGATGACATGAAAATCAATTTTAGATGCTGAAAAGTTGGGTGGTTGAGGTTGGATGGGTATCAGGAAAAACTCAAAATCTTAGGTCTCAGAGCATACCTGTGGTAGTGTGATGGAAAAAACTAGCCTAGTAGTGATTTTTGGGTAAGCTGTTACTATCTTTGGCCTCGGTTTGTTTATTTGTAAAATGAGGCAGCTAGACCAGATGATTTTACCAAAATTTCTTTTTGTGGACTGAATTAGAGCCAAAAGGTAGAGGAGATAATAGCTAACATTATTGAATACCTTCTATGTATGAGGTACCATTGCAAGTTATATATATCACCTCATTCTTACAACGTAAATATGAGGTACATACTGAAAAACAAACTGAGGGTTCTAGAGGGGAGGGAGGTGGGGGGATGGGTTAGCCCGGTGATGGGTCTTAAGGAGGGCACGTTCTGCATGGAGCACTGGGTGTCATACGCAAACAATGAATCATGGATCACTACATCAAAAACTAATGATGTAATGTATGGTGATTAACATAACAATAAAAAATTAAAAAAAAGAACAGAGGGAACTGATGGATTAGAAAACAATTTGTAAATAAACTTTTATTTTACATAAAAAAATTATGAGGTACATACTCTTATCCTCATTTTACAGATGAGGAAACTGAGGCTGATATAAACCTTGCTCAAGTTTCCAGAGCTTATAAATAGCAGAACTAGGATTTAAATCCAGGTAATATAAATTTATGTCCTTTATCACTGGGCTAAACTGCTTCTTAACAGTGGTACTATTCAGGGTACTATAAGAGTAGGTAGAGGTCTCCTTTGGTAAAACAGTAATCTTTGATCACAGGTATGTGGGCATGGAAAAATGGGTCTGTCGTAATGATTGTCACACTTTCTGACTCTTCTTCTCTCCGTACTTTTTGCTTCCTGGACTTAAATTATCAAAATAATTCCGGATTCTCTTCTACCAACCAAGGCTAGATGAAAATGGGCCCAGAACGTACTGTAATTTTTGAGAAAAGCTTTTCAGATCCAACCCAGGCTTAGGTCAGAGTTGACAGATCTGGGAGAACCATGTCCATTTCGGAATGAAGGCAGCTTTAGGATAAGCAGATCAGCCTTAGAACCCCACACTCCTTTCAGTGTCCTCATGCTTGAGATACTTTGGTCTGGATTTTCTTTTCACATCAGCTTTGCATTTTTGTACAGGAACAGAAGGAACTGAAAACTCTTTTTTTCTCTTTCCTTTTCTTTCTTTTTTTTTTAAATTTTTTATTAAGTAGGCTCCATGCCCAGTGTGGAGCCCAGTGTGGGGCTTGAAATCAGGACCCTGAGATGAAGAGTAGGATGCTTAACCAACTGAGCCACCCAGGCACCCCAAAAATGAACTCTTAAAAGCACATTTCACATGAAATTGGATTGATGTGATAGCAACTATAGACTGAGAAAAAGACTGAGTTTTATAGTTGAAAAACTGAGTCTGGTATTAAGTGCATATTATGACATAGTACCTGTGCTAATGTAGACATTGTGAGGTTTGAGGATTGATCCTATTTTGAAAGAAAATCTGTGGCTAAAATACTTTGATCTAAAGAGCTCAATGAGGGGCGCCTGGGTGGCTCAGCCATTAAGTGTCTGCCTTTGGCTCAGGTCATGATCCTAGAGTCCTGGGATCGAGCCCTGCATCGGGCTCCCTGCTCAGCGGGAAGCCTGCTTCTCCCTCTCCCGCTCCCTCTGCTTGTGTTTTCTCTCTCGCTGTGTCTCTCTCTGTCAAATAAATAAAATCTTTAAAAAAAAAATAAAAAAACTCAACCTTCTGATTTATGTATATATAATAAGTCAGCTTATTACTCTAAATTTACTGGAAGACCTTGAATATATACAAGAATAGCATTTTGAGGCTAGCCTGTTTAATCACATCAGAATACGAGAAAATTGCTATTTGTCTTTCTTATTGTGCAGAGGTAGCTGGCAGTGCTCTTGTCTGCCTCATTGAAGAGTCATGAATACCCTTTTGCACAGGGCTGCCACATAGAGTTAGCGGATTTTGCACTGTATAATCCTCGAGGTGCAATCTTACACAGACTATGATGTGAATAGTGTTCTTTTGGGTTGTGTTGTATATTGCATAGCACTGTCCTTGTGCCCACTCGGTGGGCTTTTGTGCTCTTGCCTCCACCCCAGTCTTCAATGTGTGTTTCTAAGCTTCATTTTCCCTCTCATAAGCCTCCTCCACCCCATTTTTCTGCCTTTTTCTCTTTCATTTTTTCAGATGAAGTCAAACTGTTGATAAACCATACAAAGATTTTCTGTTGTTTGGGTTCCTTGTAGCCAAAATTTCAGAAACTGGCTTCATTATTACATTGATCAATTTGGAACACTTTACTTTTGTAGAAGACTTTTTGGTTTAATTTTAGTGTTAGTCTGAAACATAGGCAAAAGAAGTATTCCACATCCCTATACTAAACCTGATTTCAAAGTCAGTTGCGTTGATTGCATGATTACATGTTGCTTTGCTTGTGTATTTTATAACTCTTCTCAGCTGTCATGAAAATTTTGTTTTGTATTCTTAAAAACACTAAATACTAGGATTTTGAAGTGCTTTTGTATATTATTTAGCAGGAGAAATAGCCAAGCTGCAGGCTACTGTTGCTGAGTACTCCCTGGATCACTTTTGCTTTTGGCTGTTGCCTATGTCATCCATCCCAGACCTGTGTTAGCCAGGTCAGTAGCTGAAATGGTAGGAAAAGTGCTCTTTGCTATGTCAAGTGCCAAATAAAGTTTTCACTGCCAACACTCCTCTTCACTTATAAAGCAATATGTAGTTGACTGAATGGAGAGGGATAATTTTTGAAGTTGAATAATATAAAGAATTTTTGAAGAGATTTTTAGTAATCAGTCTACTTGGATTCATGTAGATGTACTAAAATGTATTACATATTAATATACATTATGTTTATATATTACATATAGTATATAATATATATGCAACTATATATATTACATCTTTTTCACATGGCTTTAATTCTCAGGTTCTTTGTACTTCAGAAGAAGTTTATATGCATATTACATATGTACATAATATGTTACATATGTATAATGCAGATGTAATATGTATATAATATATACATATTATATCCCATATATATGTGTGAACTTTCTCTAAAGTACAAAGGACCTGAGAATTAAAGCCATGTGAAAACAATTTGAGGGAAAGTAGCTCTAACGCTAGATAAGTAGAAAGATGCTAGAAGACTCAGAGTAGATAATTATTAAGCATTAGGTCAGTTTTATACCATTTGTAGCTAGCTAATTCTTTAATAATGCTATATAAAGGATGTTTAATGTCTTTCTTCTTAGACCAACAAGTGATCTCTTATTTCAGAGGTGGTTTATGCATACACTGAGCATTTTATTTCCACGTTCATGCTAGTATCTGAAGTGTCACACAATTTTATTAACTAAAACTGTGAGGGAATGTTCAATACACTGATAACTCTTAGGATTCTAGTTCTAGAATGTAGACATCCTTGTTCAGTAGGTCGGGGTTCTACTATTTAGCATATAGAGGCATAAGAATGCTTTGGTATAGAAGGTGCTCTATAAATAATTTGTTGAAAGAGTAACAATATTGACAGGTCTAAATTGCTTCAGTGAGTAGATTAGATTGCTTACCAGATCTGTTTCCAGTAATAATCTGGCTTATTTAAAAATCTTGAGCACACTGAATATGAAATGAATGTTAGCTATAGAGCAGAACATGTTTCACAGGAATTTTATGTTTTAATATTTTGGAAACTTTTAGAGAGAACACACCTGTGGGTGGAGGGTTGGGCAGACGGAGAAGACAGAGAGAGAATCTTAAGCAGACTTTGTACTAAGTGTGAAGCCTATCACGGGGCTCAATCTCATGACCCTGAGATCATGACCTGAACCGAAATCAAGAGTTAGATGCTTAAGCAACTGAGCCACCCAAGTGCCCCAATATTTTGGAATCTTTTACAGAAACAATAAAATGTTGATATTTATTTCCTTATACACATCCTAATTAATCTGTTTTAACCATAACCAGGAGGTAACAAGTTGATATTTTTCATTTTTCCCATATTAGTGTTTCAGATAGCTAGTATTTTTCTCTTGAACTTTATCAATTAAAAGTATTAAATGGCATATGTAAAGTAATACTTTTTTTATTTTTATTTTTTAAGGATTTTATTTATTTATTTGACAGAGAGAGACACAGTGAGAGAGGGAACACAAGCAGGGGGAGTGGGAGAGGGAGAAGCAGGCTTCCCGCTGAGTGGGGAGCCCGATATGGGGCTCGATCCCAGGACGCTGGGATCATGACCTGAGCCGAAGGCAGACACTTAACGACTGAACCACCCAGGTGCTCCTGTAAAGTAACACTTTAATAATGAAAAATATTTTTAAAGAGATTTGTCTTTATCCCCATCATCCTTAACATAAGAGCTTTTTTCATTTTGCCGTTCTCTTTATTTGTATTTATGTGTATTTTACATAATTTACATCAGTGAATACACAATTTTGTAAACATTCTTCCATGTTATAGTCATCATAATTATTTTTAGTAGCCACTAGATTAGAAACTACAGTTATTAACCAGACTCTGAATGGACAGTTTCTGTTGTTTCCAATTTCATGGGTTGTAAATAAGGTTGAAGTGAAGATTTTATGTATATAATTTTTTTCCTTCTTTGTAATTTTCCTTAGGCTAAATTTCCAAGAGCAAAACTGCTTATTAAAAAATATTTAAATGTTTTTGTGAATATAAGTTATTACCATACTGCTTTCCAAGAAGATAACATATTTAAAATTTCTAATATTTTGTATTTATTCTTCCATAACTTTGATCATTATCTCCTTTAAAAAATTTAATAAATGTACAGTGGTATTTTATTGCTATATGTTTGTTTCTAACTTTCTCTTATTGCAGACCATTCATCAAGGACTTTGTACCCAAGACCCAAAAGCTTGTTACCCGAGATGATGAATGCTGACATGGATGGTATGTGCTTTATTTTCCTTTTTGTGAGTTCCTGGTTTTGTGGATGCTTTCGGCTTAATTAAGCAATGGAAAGAACAGAGAAGCAATATTTAGAGGCTTGGATTTGGCTAATTTACTTACTTATATCCTCTCTAGATCTAGAAAGGATTGATAATGGCAAAACAATTTATCTTCACCTTGGTGTCCTTATCTGCCATGTGGGCATCTGACTTTTTCCTTTACAGGGCTCTTGTTTAAGTCAAGTAAGATAATATCAGAAATTTTGCATATCTTTAAGTGCTACACTACACAAATGGTACCTAATGTTAATTAATAGTAAATCTGAACCTTTGTATTACAGCAGTGGATGCTGAAAATCAGGTGGAACTGGAGGAAAAAACACGACTTATCAATCAAGTGTTGGAACTTCAACACACACTTGAAGGTTAGCTTGCATTTTGTAGTTTTCTTGAATACTATCTAATTAGTTGAAATTGTAAGCATTTGTTTTGCTAAATTTTGTTAGCATGTCCCCAGTTTTTAAAAGTATAAACTTCAAAGTCCATTTCAATAGTTTCTTTTCCTGCCTGCCTGCAGCTTTGGCTGGTGATTTTAAAGAACAGATGTGCTTCAATAAGAAAGTCAAATAGTGTTCCTGTGCATCCCTCTGGGGTTAATGTAATGTTCTTTATGATATGAGAGCCCCTTAAGCCCCTGCATTGTGTTATTACTAAGTCCACTTTAATAAAGCTTATACTAAAGTTTTTACTTTAAAAGTGTTTTAGCTTCAGAGATTAAAAGTGGGTCAATCTGAGTGTTTTCATTTTCTGAGTGTCTTGCATAAAATTAATACTACCACTGAAACATCTTGGTTTTTAATGAAATTAAGAGGCTGTGGGTGTTTTGTTTTGTTTTGTTTGAACAGCAGGGTGAGCAGATCACGTCATCTCACTGGCTTCCCGTTGCACAGTTAATAAAAGCCAGGTTACTCTGGAGATCTCTTACCTCCTTTTACCTTTCAGAGTCAGTCATGTCCCACTCTCCACCTCATTCATTCTGCCTCACACACTGACCTCCGTGCTGTTCTTTCAGCACACTTCTACTGACCGTCTTAGTGGTTGCTCTTCTCTGCTTCAATCTCTTTCCCTTAGGTGTTCGCATTCTAGATGGCTCATTCCCTCATTTCTTTTAGGTCTCTGGTCAAATTCCTTTTATCAAAATATCGTTGACTATACAAATATAAAAAGGCAACTTCCCTTTTGCTTCCTGCGACTCTTACCCTTCTTTTTTCTCCTGACCGCTACTTGGTTGGAGCCCCCCAAATGCACATGTGCCCACATGCACATTAGAATGTAAGCTCTGTGAGGGCCAGGGCTTTTGTTACAGTTGCCTCTAGAACAGTGCCTGGCTCTTAAAGGGCACCCAATACTTAGTTGTTAAATGAATGAATGGAGATAATGTTTTATTTGATCATTAAGAACTATGTCTTTTGAATTTCTTGCAAATGTAAAAATACAAAATGCTCAATTGCTTGGAAACTGACTTTCCATATCCAGTGTATAAATTGAGTTGTATTTGCCTGCCACATTTTCTTAAGCATTTCTAACAAAGATGTTACCGTTTTTGTGTTGATAAAACATGAACCAAAATTCACATTTTAAAAACCAAGTCCATATCTTATGGAAATAACCATTTTAAGAAATAACTACTCAACATAGTTGCTATTTACCAACATTTAGTCTAATGTGAAATCTCTTTTTAAGAATTTTGGCTATTAACTTGCACTCAGTTTACTTTGTTTACCTTAATTTCTAAAGTTACCTGAATTTAAAAGCAGAAAATTTAAAGATTGTGTTATCTCTTTTAAGAATAAATTTTAAGTCTTTTATAGTATGGAGTCATTGCCATCATTTTATTGATACTGGACTTTTTTATTCTTAAATACAGACCTCTCCGCAAGAGTAGATGCAGTTAAGGAAGAAAATCTGAAGCTAAAATCAGAAAACCAAGTTCTTGGACAATATATAGAAAACCTCATGTCAGCTTCTAGTGTTTTTCAAACAACTGACACAAAAAGCAAAAGAAAGTAAGGGATTAACATCCCTTCTGTTTTATGGAATTGCTGCTGATCTTTTTTTCTTTAAAACCTGGATAGATTTAAAAAGTTATAGTACTTTTGTTTGTGGCTTAATTGAATATTTATGAAGATAATGTCAGATCTAGGCAAAATTAAGAGCATAAGGGAAGACTTCATGAGTTTGTGTATATGTTAGTCTATGAAAACGTGCAAATGTAGAGACTTTATAATTAGAAATGCATATATTTATGAAACTTGAAAAATGAATGTTTTATCAAATTTGCTTTGATTTATAGGTTTAGCACTGTCTTTTATTATAGGCATAGTAAGAGATAACAATAACCACCATGTTGTGAAAAGTGACCAAAATCATGTACTGAACGCACAGCTTTATGTACCCTGTCCACCATGTTGTGCCTCTTCTCCATTTGCTTTTTCCTTTCCATTTCCCTTCCCCTAAGGAAAAAATTGGTTTTACATTTGTAAAAGTAATTTTAATAGTTAATCATCTGTGAGAGTAACCTGAGCTTGAATTGTTGAAACTTACTAAAATAAGATACTTTCTCAGTTAGGGCTTCTCATAGTTAATAATAAGATAGGATTGTTAGTTTCTCTTTAATCAGTTGAAAACAGAGGCTATAAATATGAAGACTTCTTTGCAACTGAATTGTCAAATTGGGAAGGCTTGGTGGTTAAAACCTTCCTTTTGCACAAAACGTGGAGAAAGATTAGTATCTGGAAAGATGAGCTCTGTTTATACATTTGGAATAGAAAATTTTGAGAAAAACATTAATAGGATGGGAAAGGTACTTGGCAAACAGTAGTAACCAACTCCAAAATGTTTTTACTCCAGATTTGTGTGATCTCTGACACAGACTAGATATATATGTATGTGTGTATATATATATATATATATATATATATATCTCCCCGAGAAAGTAGATTAAATGTGACTAACCTTATGTCAACCACATCTGGAGGAGAACAGTTACAAAGAGTTTAGTCTTAACTTTTATTTGTAGTACCCAGCAGATCAACTTTTGCGAAATCCCTTTAGGGTGTATTAGTATCAGAATCATGAATAATAAAATGAGAGAGTTTTACATGTATACTAGATGTTATTTTCTATTTTAATCTCACTACTTCTCCCAGAATTTTCTGTAAACCTAACTACTTGGTTTGCAGAGTTTTAGTCACTCTTTTACGGTTTCTAAAAATTTAGTTTGTAGATTCCATCTGGTAGGAAAATTAGTATCAGAAGTAATGTTAAATTGTTAAATAGGAAAAGAGATCCACTAATACAGTTTTGGTTGTTAGATTTGGGCTTTTAATCCTGGAATAATCTTATGTTTGTACTGGTGTACGATTCAATGAATGACTTTAGCTGTATGAATATAATAGTTATACTGCAAATATTTTGCATCCCTTTTGTGACCTAATTTACAAACATTTAAAATTGTGTTGCAGTTTTGCTTTGCTGTTTAATAAAAAGCTGTTTCAGAGATTGTGTGTGTGTTAATATAGTAACTTGGTGTATATAATGGTGTAGTGGTGTATCCAGGGTTGTTCAAAGCCACAGGGTTAAGTAGCATATCTTATTTAAGTACTAGTTACTGTATGTGTAGGGGAATATTTTTATTAAAACAAATGTTACAGGATATTATACATTAACTTTTTGAAATAAAACAAAGAATTCGGAGACAGATCCAGGATTGCCAGGGGAAAGGTGGTTATAATTTTTAGGTTAGGCTAAGCTCCTGTAACAAGAGATATGCTAATAAAATAATATAGAAGTTTCTCTCCCAACTAATGGTCTTGAGGTTAAACACTGCAAGCTAAGCAGGCTTTGTTCCACATAATGATTCAGGGACTTGAGTTGAGGATAGCTCTGCCATTTTCGACCATGGCTTCTAAATCACTCTAATCACTATTCTAATTTACAGAGAAACTACATGGGACACATATGCAAAGTTTTAAGGGTTAGGCCTGCCTGGAAATGGCACATATGTTTTCTTACATTCCAATGGTGAAGAGACTTAGTTACATCTAGATTGCAGGAGCTAAGAAATGTAGTCTTTGGCTAGAAGCCATATTCCAGCTATCACTTTGTTACCGTAAAAGCACATGGAGGATTTTGGTAGCAACTAGCAGCCACAGCATTCTTCTCTTGCTGTTAAATCTCTGTGCACAACCTTCTTCCCATACTCCACCCTTCCTCACCAGTTACTGATTCAACTCAAAATCCAGGATCTTCATCAAGGTCCATCAGTTGTAGATGTGGCTTCTAATAGTCTGACGTCTAAACTGATGGGCAAATTATTTCCTCTCACCCTTAAGTCTGCCCATTTATAATGGTGTGGTGAGGACAGGAAACCCAAATAAAACCTCTCAACTTGGAAAATGGAATAAAGGGAAACATGTATTGATTCAAAGCGACTTTGGGGATATTCCTGGGAAACCCTGAGAAGAGTGTGTCCCTGATGAAAAAGAAGTTCCTTGGGACACCTGGGTGGCTCAGTTGGTTAAGCATCTGCCTTCTGCTCAGGTTGTGATCTTTGGGTCCTGGGATCAAGTCCCGCAACGGGCTCCTTGCTCAGCGGGGAGCCTGCTTCTCCCTCTCCCCCTGCCTGCCGCTCCCCCTGCTTGTGCTGTTTCTGACCAAAAAAAGCTCCTTGATCAGACCCTGATTCTGCTCTCTGGCAAGACTCCCTTGTTCATTACCCTCAACGGCTTCCACTCTGGAATGTTACTCTTATCCACTTCTCTCCATGGCTCTGTCTGAAGTAGAGGCTGGGAATTTGCCGTTTATGGGAGTTGTGAAAATAGTAGTGCACTTATTGCTGGCATGAACTTGGTGCCCATTGTTTTAAGGCCAAGCTTACATTTCTTTGGAAGTAAAATCCCCTCAAAAATTCTGTGTTTCTAGTTCCACCTGTTAGGAATCACAATCAAGCACTTTTCTAGACCAAATTCTCAAAGTATGCTTTCATCATCACAGGACCCTGCCTCTTTAGTGGAGGCTACCTTGAGACCAGCTGAAAATAAGACTGCACTGGGAATGCTAACACCCAGATTATCACTGCAGGGATGGATCCCTTTATTTGGCTTACCATGTGACAGAGAGGTCTTGCTGGGCTTCCCCCTCAGCCTCCCACACCTCAAAAAGAAAACAGGATTAGACCTTTTTTGGTATAGAAGGGTACAGAAGCCCTTGGCTTTTCTAATCCTTTGAGGTTCCTAATATCTGATGTTTCTCTATTCCATCTCCACTTGGGAGACTGGTCAATTCTTTCTTGTGATGTAAAAACATCAAGGACCAGGCAATTCATTTCACATTCTGACTTTTCCAACTGCTACCCATGGAGCTATCAGCTCAGTAGGCGACAAAATCTTACCTGAAATACAAGTCCTAGCTGTTTGTCATGTGAATTAGGTAAGCTAATGCTAAACATTGTTTTCCTTATGACAGTATCTCACTTCAGGCTATTAATTTCTATATTAGAAATATAGATGGTAAACAGTGTGCACAGGGACTGTGTCTAGCTTCTGAATAGACTCTCTCCGTGACCAAACTTTAACCAGGCTCTTCTGAGCCTTCTTTTCGACTGGACCTCATCACAGGCCCTTCTCTGGCCTGACTATGCCAGTTTTTGAAAGAATCCTGCTAAGTCAGTTTAGAGGGAATTCCCTCACCCTCAGCATCTGATCACCCTGGTTTTCCAGGGTTAAATCAGTTTAGCAAGCATTCTGCTACCTCTGATGTCTCCTTAGTAAATTTTCCCTCTCCCCTGATTTTGCTCACTGACTTTAAATCCCAGCTGTCTTTGCTGTATTTGGAGTTGAGCGAAGTATCTCTCCTCTACTGTGACAGTCTTTGGCACCTATTGTAGTAGCTAGAATAAAGTCTTCCTCGCTGTTTTAACAAGTGTCGGAATAATTTTTTCTTTAATACTTCTAATCTAAATGCTGTGGAATGATTGGCAGGAAAATCAGCACACCTCTTTCCTCAACCACCTCTCCCCCAGTAGGATTTCCCTCAATACTGATAATAGCATTCCATTCAGAATTTGTCCTCTTTATATTCCCTTTGGACTTTATTTATAGCCAATTAACTATATATAGATCACAATCCCTTATCTGGAATTCTGGGGACCAGATGTTTCAGAATTTGGAATTTTTCAGATTACATAAAGAATTATGAATATGGTTTGGGACAGCACCTGTAATCAAATACATTAAAGATTTTTGTAACAAATATGTGAATTTAATACTAAGTATGATAAAGGCCTGTCGGGGAGGTCAGGTTTGGCTGCTAAATGAATTTTTGTGTCAAACATGAAAACACTTTAGCTTTCACAGATTTTTTGTTTTTTGCAACAAAAATTTTTGCAGAAAAGTTACCAAAATCATCTAAGCATAGAAACCCCACTAGTTTATAATGTCACATTTCTATTCCTGTCCATTACTCTTCCCCTTTGATCATGTCCTTCCAAAAGAAAAATGAGAGATGAATTATAGAATCCAAAGTTAACTTTGTGGTCCAAAGCAAAGCAAAACTATCTTAATTCTGAAGAAAGTAAAACCTTTCTTCACTTTCCCTGGTCAGTTTTTCCCTCTGGAGTTAACACCCTCTAGTGGTTTTCATGCAGGTATTTCTTCATTCCTGAAACAATCAAAATTACCAGCGAAGACCAAGAGATTACTTTAGTTAAGACCGCCTGCAAATCATGAAGGAACAGAAAATGTGTTTACATTCAAGTTTGTTTAAGAATTGGTAGAGAGAATGACTTAACAGCCTCTTAGCTACTCTGGCTGAAAAACAAAACTGCAGTTTATTTCTCTTAAATCATGGAGACTTCGTGGCATTTAAACACAAATTTACCATAACAAGAACTTTAGGTTGGCCTTAGGATCGAATTTACCTTATAATGGAGCTGGGTGGGGAGGAGGGATGACAGAAGCGAAAGTATTACATCAAATCACTTGTATAATGTATTCACTGTGTTTTAGATTTTATATATTATTTATAGATGGCTTACCAAATGTTTAAGTTATCAAAACTTGAGAATATTCCCAAATTTTACAAAGAACATAAAAGTGTATTCATTGAACAAAAACCAACTATGTGGTAAGATACTATGCTAGGTGTTAAAAGATCCAGTCATCCTATTGCCTACCTTCCCTAAAACTACCATTGCTCCTCCATGCATTTGCATTTCCAGAGACAAACTCCAAATGCATTCTCAAATACATTTTCTCTCTCATCAGCCTACGTCATCTGACATGTCAGATTAAGATTTTCTTTTTGAAACTCCTCACAGCTGTCATACTATGAGAATGCATGGGAGCTAAAATTTGGGATGAGATTATTAAAATTTATGTAGAAATGCTATTATTCATTTACATAGGAGACTGAAGTAGTTATCTGATATGAGCCATGTGATAGTTCGTCCCTAGATCCTGCTAAAGTCAAAACATAGTCACAAGACTATACAAAACCATTTCTGGATTACTGTTCTAAATTTCTAAGATACATTAAATTCACTGCTAGTGGTTAATTGTAACATATAGGCAGTTCCATCCTGTGTCTCTTGCAAATGTGGCCTGACACTTCAAAAAGGCTCCTGATCCTAGTAATATGTGTCTTCCTAGAGAAGTGATGAATGGAGGCGAGGCTATCTTAAAAAGATACTGAAGAAAAAGGAAGCTCATTAGCCTGGTCAAGTTGAAAAGCCTCTAAAAAGGCGAACTAAAATAAAGAAAAGCAAAATACACTTCTTTTTCTCCTTTATTAGAGAAAA